TCACATCAACTCCAAGACTCTGTTCACTGTCCCACAATGTTATTTGACATTTTTGTTGGGATCCTACATTTCCTACATGTTGTTTGGCAGAGTGCTGCTGATACTTTGCGGTGACTTGATCGAAAAATGGGACCGAAAAATGGGACTGTTCTTCTCCTAGGCTGCTTGAAAACCTTCGTGGAGCGGGGCCGGCCACAATTAGCTTGTTCATGCTTGTTCAATCCCAGTCCTTGAGAAGTTCGGGGGATTTAGGGGGGTTTTCAAAGAACCGACCGGCGTCGGCGGCCAAACGGCCAAATCCATGCGCGACCCACTGCGGCACCTCGCAGGCCACGGGCCCCTCCTCGCAGCAATCTTTTTCTTCGCCGGGTGCACCTCGGTGGACGACTCGCCCGGTGGACGTCCCTTCTTCCCAAATCAAGGCGCTTTTTGGGAGGACACACCGCGTCTTAAACCACCCAAACCTTTGGCGGCATCGCCAAAAGGTGGAACATTACACCTACAAATCTCACCTGAAGTCAACATTCACGAACATGCACAGAACATTATTCTGAACCTGTGTGCTCAAAACCACCAATCATTTGTGCTCGAACCTGAAGGTCATGTGGAACGTAGCCACCAAAGGGTTGAGAACCCAACGAACAAGTCAATGTAGTATGTTTCATTCGAGCATCCACACATCCACGGGTTCAACAATATTCAACGACTATTGGAGCTGCAATGCCACAGGTGTGACTTGTGCTCTTCACTTGCCACCGCCTTTGAGGCACCATGTGCGTGACTTATTTGACTCTCAATTCGTGACGTGTGGCCCAACAAACTGTTGTGAGAAAGAAGGACCTCGACAGGTGCAATTGCAACAATTGTTTCGTCGTAAGCTCTGGAAGGCTATGTCTCGGATCCGGGCCAAGCAAAGCCGCTTGGAAAGTTGTGGAATCCGTTTTTCTTGAAGGATATTGGCATAGGGTATAAATGGGTATAAGCAAGTGAGAAGTTTAAGCCAGTACATTCCAAGAATCCACATCCAAAATTGAGAGCTTCACTATTAACGGATGGAAACAAAAGTCCAGGCATACGGAGCTTTGCAATCATCCTCTCAAACATGGAAAGGCAAGGCCACTTGTGCAGTCTGTTTCTTTCAATCACGGAAGCTCACAGGTTTAATCTGGTTTAATCCTGAAAGTTTGAACTGGCGAAAGAGTTTATTCAATAACAACATTATACAGTGGAGACGTACCTTGTGAACTTCATTATGAGGGACTTGTCTGCCGTTTCCAGCTTTCACGGTCACAGCTACTTCACAAAGCAGTCTTGTCAGCTGGTTTAGAGTTGGAGCTGTGGATTCGGCAGTCTTCCACCCCAGCGACAACCCACGCATTCTCTTTGACAGTTCTGTGACCATCCGTGGTCCGGAGTCCGGAGAAGAATGTCTAGAAGCACTGTATTATATATTATGTCTGTAAGTATGCGATAAAGTTAGGCTTGAAATGCAGTGAGTCTGTCTCACGCATCCATTCTTTCTCCACAAGTGGAAACTTCAACTGTCTGCTGAAGGAGTCCAATCAAAGGAGCTCGATTTATCGACGACTCTTTTCGTACGTGCTGGGGAAGGCGTTGAAGCGCGTTTCTGGTTGATGTCCTCGCCTTCTCGTTCTGTTCCTGATCCTGTTCCTCGTCCTTCTCCTCCGTCCTGTTCCTCGTCCTCCTCCTTCTCGTCCTCTCCTTGTTCTGCTCCTCGTCCTGTTCCTCGTCCTCATTGTTCTGCTCCTTGAGTTCCTTGTCCTGTTCCTCGCCCTCCTCCTGGTTATGTTCCTCATCGCGCTCCTTGCCTCCGATTCCTGTAAGAACTACAAAAACACAAAGCTCTCAAACACGTTGCCCTTTGATTTTTGTTGCGCCCTGCCCCCCATGGATCTAATTCATAAACCATCATCGAGGCTGTCGCTTTTGGAGTGATCGCATCAATCCATGTTCAGTGTCTCACCTTTGGTGTACTTAGTATTTGAATCCCACACCATGTTTGTTCATTTGTTTGTTTGTCTCCTAAGCAGCTAAGCCTTTGGTCAATGAAAAGCAACAGCTTAGCCAAGAAGCAGCAGGTGCCTTCAAAACCATCCCGGCGGCAGCGAGGGTAGGCGAGGCACGCGCTTGGCACTTCTGGCATACAAGTTCAAGCGGACAAACTGTACAAACAGCAAACATCTTCTGAACTCCAGGAGGGACATGCAGTCGTGAAATGGCCGATTATTCTCCCCCGAAGGTAGTGGAGAGCAACCATTTCAGACGGTGACCCTACTGCAACCTGTTCTTGATACTATGCATGCATACCCCTCCCACCCAGGTGCTTTTATGATCTTGGAATCCCTTGCAAAGTCTTGACAAGCAGCCAAACCAAGAAAGCATTTGAAAGCCCAAATTCTCCAAGTGCCCTGCGGCACTAATCAAATAGTCCTAAATTGCTTCCTAAGCATCCTAAACAAACCAAAGATTTTGCCTAGTTGTTGCCTTGACTTTTGGCACACTCCGATTCTGAAGGTCCAACTTGCCCATCCACTGTCGTCCGCGCCTTCACAGCAATCGAGTGGCTCCTGTCCTTTGGCTGGAGGGCAGCAGCGGCCAGTCGTGAGGCCCAACCTGGACACCGTTCTCGACGGACCGCGTCGAGAGCCCTACACTGCGCTGGCGCCAAGCAAACATGAACTTTTGCAACTCAACTGACTGAAATCCCAGTGGTTCAAAGGTGGTTGGGAGATCTCAAAAACAACTATAATACCTATAATTTATAGAGTCACCCAGTTAGATGGCAGTTAGGCAGTTGAATTTAGACAATACATATTTCTTGTTGCTATAAATATGACCGGCTGTTTTAAGCGTTCCGGAGTTTTCTAGGAGGGCATGACATGTCAAAGCCTGGCACAACAAATACTTCCTTGTCAGTTCATGATGATGTCAGTTCAGTTGATTGACCTGTGCCCAGGGTAAATGTCAAAGGACCCCTTACATACCTTACATAGCTCGCCCTGCATGGTACCATAGAGACCATCGTTGCCGCTGGGAAATCCCACTTGAAGCTTCCTTCCTTCCTTTCAACAACCCGAATTGCCCCGAACAAACTGCCGAAACTACAGCCATGTAGGGAGGCCCCAAAACATCGCCAGTGCATCACATCCCCCAGCACTCTCCCCAGCTTCACGATGCGCCATCCGAAGGGCTCCACGCATTTGGAGTAGACTGCACAAGAACTGGGCACCGGCCGATTGGACTCTTCTGGAGGCTCCGGCGGAATCTCCTGGAGGTCTGAGGGCACTTCATGACCGAAGCACAAAGAGCTTTGTGGTGACTCCCAAATCATAGACTTCTCGGACGCGATATGTTGTTTCTATGTGTTCTGGATAAGATTCATTTTGAATTGAGGAGTGACCCAAGTCGTCTGTGTGGTGTATTTGAGGTGATGATGACAGGTGACTCGTGACTCAAATGGCCTCATCATCTCTTCGGGTCTTGACCTTTGGACAGTTTGCCCATCCCTGCTCTCACAGACCTGTCATGTTCTCGTCTCGTCTCCACAAAGTCACTGAGCTGAAGAAAACCTCATTAATGTTTCGAAAAGGAAAGGAAAAAAACATGTCACATCCCTGCCACCATCTTCCCATATCTTCCCTGTCTCGTCTCCACGAAGTCACTGGGCTTGATTCTTTCCAGGAAGTCGTTGGCCAAAAGCAGTCTCAGCAGCGCACATCCAAGGCACAATCGCATCAGGGCGCCTCTGTGATCGGGTCGTTTCACCCGTCGATCTGCGGTCACGACCTAACCTCTGGTACCTACCCCTGGTCTGACGACAAGTTGCACTCAAAAAATCACCTGGCAACATGGTGGTGAAGCTTTGTGCGAGATTGGATTCCACAAAGGCTTTGCCTGTTCCTTTGCAGAATTGGTCACAAAGTAGAACGGGGCAATACAAGATGTAAAACACAACACTTAAACAATTGTGTGTCATTGTTTTGTAGGCTCACAGATCCCGTTGGAGGCACAAACTCCAGCAAAACATGGCAACACTGTGTTTGGGGCAGCTCCAAATCCATGAGAATACCACGAACTTTCTTTGTTCAGTTTGCATCCATTGGCCTGTTGGGTTAGACATTGGACCTGTTTATCTGAGTGAGTGTGCAGATCGCCACCTGGCACGCTCGAGTTTTGAAGTATGTATACATAATATGGATGGAACATGATGGAAGGATGAGGGTATTGCTGCCAGACTGGTAACTGAGACTCTCAAGAAGCGTTTCTCAGTCATTTCACCTGAGGAACTGGGAATCTATTGGGTCAGAGAGCGGCTCCTTAGCTCCCTCTCCAACTACCGGCAAGGCAAGAAAACACATTGACATTGAAAAGAAAACCTGCATTGCGCACTGCCAGGGGTATATTCTGGAGCATTCTGGAGGTAGTCGTTATTGTTAGACCAACCTTAGTTTCTCTAACAACTGTGGAAGTGCCAAGCGGCCAGCTTGGCCAGGTCTAGGAAGGGGTGCACCCCCACCCTCGGAAATCGGCGATGGGAAGCAGTCAGCCACCCTGTTTTTGAGCCAAAAACTGCGGCCACCAAGGAATGAGTGTATGGAGGTACAAGCAGATTCGACTTGGCCTTTATCTGTTTGGCATCTTGCCCTTCACGCACCACATTTTCCATGTACACTTTATTTTCTATTGCCGTCCATTTCTTTGCTTGGAATTATAGGAGTTATGGTATGACTATAGGGGACAATGATTCCAAGCGCAAATTACAATGACCCAGTATTACCATGCTTCGCTAGGATGTCAAGCTGAGTTCACTATTATATTCTTTATTATTGTATGAATGTGTTCACATATTATTGTGATAGGTCAGGTCTCAAATTGTCGCCAATTGCGGGAACATCTGTCACTTCAGACGAAGGGTCAACGTCATGGTCTGTCTGAAAATCTCACAAGCCAAAACAGCAGCAAAACAGGCCAGGGAGTGCGGGATCAAACTCTGGAGGCTTCTGGCTTTGCAAGGAGGCCAAGTAGATCACGATGATCGAGAGGATACCCCACACTGGGCAGCAGTTGGGACATCCAAAGCATTAACAGTTGGGAGTTGGACGTTGTCTTTGTAATCTTCCCTATCTTTTTGCAGGTTGGAAGCCAATTGAATAATTAGGAGGTCTCCTCGCCTGCTTGATCTCCTAGTCCTAGTCGTTGTTATGTTCTTTCTCGTCTTGTGCGGTGCTTCCGGGTCTCCAGAATCGTTTCTGCGCAAGGACAACAAGGGCCAAACCGCCCGAGGACCTCGGCAGCTGAGGGTCGTGACTCAAGCCCACGATCACACCGGCATCGATGATAGCCCGATAAGGGTTATCCAATTGCCTGACACCTCAGGGACGGGACGCCGGGACGTCTGCTGGCGTTTCCTTTTTGCTCAGGGTCCAGGATGTTTGATGATGTTTGCAGCTGCTTAGCAAGAGGCCATTGCCATGCCGCCTAGGAAGTAGGACCAAATTAAATGGACTATTGAATGGTTGCAATGGATCCTGTTCATCAATTGTTCTTTCCTCATGATCATTAGAAGCTATCCATCTACCAACCCCACTTTTCAATTCTCTGAGTGATGCCAAGGCTCGCATAGTAGCATCACCCGGTCACAACAACACTGTAGAGGAATGCTTGGGGAGGGCATTCAGAGTCCCTGACAAAAAACACCTCCACACATTGCATTGAACTGTAAAATGGCAAGTACCTTCATTGCACGTATCACACCCCCCCACTTCAAACTAGGGAACCTATTGATCTTTGGAATTGCAAGCACCTCGGCGCAAGTGGTCAACCCAACCACACTCCCAAGTCCAGACCCAAACTGAACAAAGTCGCTGCCCAGCCCAGCCTATGACCACCAGGAAAATCACTGTAGTGACCTACTCAGCATGGAAAAGGCCAAGTTTGGACAGTGAGGGGCTAAAGCAAAAGACCTTGCAATGATGTTGTCTAGCTATGCAACCAAATGTCACATTTGGTGGCAAAAAACTTATGGTGCCCAAGCGTGAACGGTATCTACACTACGTGGAGGATGGTCCCAACATGATCTTGGATACAAGCACAGACGCATCACACCGTATCATGCCGTATCATCTCACGACCTAGCGGGTTCAAGGTCCAATGTCAACCACCCACATAGCCTGTTTTTCTTTTTAAAAATAAAATCCGGAGCAGGCAAATCAAACATAGCCTGCGTGGTGGTCCTGCGCATGTCTATCAGCAAACAAATCACGGCCTGCCATTGCCCTGACTTCTCACATGCACTCAGCACGGCTTTGTATGCCACCTCACTAAGGGACCTCTGTTCCAGAAAAGCATAGAAAAAGTACAATGCCCAGTCCCAAAGCAATGACTTCTCAAAGCTGCTGATTAAGGCATTGCATGTGATGCCATCAGGCTCTAAAGAGTGCCAACACATCCAATTGTACAAGTCAAGAGCCCTTTCCCACATGGCTGACTTCTCGCAAGCACTGATGGAGGCATTTAAAGAAATCTGGTTGATTTGAAGGCAAGTTTCAGGTATCTTCCACAAAATCTCCAGGGCATGCTGCCATTGAGCAGCCTTCCCACAAGCACTTATGGCAGCATTCTGTGCAGACACGTCGCCTTCCAGTGCCTGTGAGCAGAAGGTCTCTAGCAAAAGGATTGCAACTTCCCACTGACTGCACCTTTCGCAGGCACTGATCGAGCACACATAAAGGCTCACAGCAGAGAATCTGCGGCCTAACGCATCCGAGAGCAGCTGAAGAATTTGTGACCAATATCCATCATTCATGACTGCACCAAAGGCCACTAGATCTGCGGACTGAACCACCTCCGAAAAGAGTTGATGTGCTTCGGGCCAAGGGGCGGCCGACAAGGTGGAGCTGTAAATTTGAAGGTTTGGTTCCGTTCCCTGATCCTTGAGGTTTTGCAAGCTCAACCCCCAATCCTTTGTCACTGCAAGATAAGCGATCAAGCTGGGTCGCAGCACCTCTTCTTTCATCTGTCGCAACAGCTGCAAAGCCCAGCTCCATGGGCCACAGCGCAAGGCCGTGCCAAAGGAGATCACGTCGGGCTGCAAGGAGCGACTCTGTTGTGCCTCGAAGATTCCAAGGCTCTGGGCCCAGACCCTAGGGACTTCCAAGATCGAGATGGACTCCGACAGGGAGCTCTCGGCCATGTCGGCCAAGGCAGCCAAAGCGGCGTTGTAGGAGACCAGGTTCGCTTGTGTTTGCCACTGAAGCTCCATGAGCAGTTCCAAGGCACAAGTCCAGTGGTCGAGAGGAATACTGGTGATACTCGTACTATAAGTGAAGGCGTTGACTTCGGAAGATTGCTCCAAGAACAGCGAGAGAAGCCTCAAGCCCTGGGGCCATGCCTCAGAAAACGCGTTGAGTGCAGCGCCATGGGTGATAACGTTGGGCTGGAAGTGCATGTTGTAGAAGGTCTGCAGAGTTTTGACAGAGAGAGCCCATTGGACGCTCTTGGAAAGCGCATTGAGCAGCGTACTCTGTGTGATGTCATTCCCTTCCAAGCGCCTCTGGCGGAGCTGCTGGAAGTGTTGCCCAGCTTGCTGCCAAGCCTTGCCTTTGACACACTTGCTGATGGCAGCATTGTGGGCAACGACATCCATGCGAGAAGGGCAGACCCTCTTCCGGCCTTTGAGCCTAGGATGCAAGAGGAAGACCCTGCATGGCGTCTGAAGGTTCCACCTCGATCTCCAGAAGCCCATCGATCTGCCCACCTATCTGACCACATTATCACCTGGGCCCTCCGAGACCCAAATCATCTTCCCAAGAACATCGATTATGACAATGACCAGGTTCCTCATGTCCCTCTCTTAGCTGACCCGGACACATCCTCCTTGAGGCTTTGGTCATGGGGGTGTCATGCAGTGTAGCTATGTGATTTGCTGACATTCTTCCTTTGAGTAGACTTTGTACATAACTTAAGATCGCTGATGGCCCATTGCAAGGAGTGCAGGTTGGAGGAGAAACAAATCATGGAGCCCCGAATAATGTGAGCTGAAACAGCATGGGGATTGCCAAAACAATAAATGCAGATTTGCATAGGGTCATCGCACGCATACAATCCTCTGTCAAACAAAAAAGCACGCACGGCATTCACGAAAGAACAGAAACACATCCAAACACATCCGAAGTCCAACATCTCCCTCCAAAAAGCAGTTCCTTCTGCTTTAACCCCTGTCTCCTGAGAATCCCGGCTGCCCAACTTGTGATCACCCGCTTCTTGCTGCCGTGGAAGTAACCGATACAAAAGGCAGGCTGAGCCGCTGCCGAGGGTAGGACCACGACGAGGACCCAAATGATGACGATCTAGCTGGTCCATTCTGCCATGGGAATACCGAACAGGCCTATACTATACTGTATATATACTGTATATACAACCAGTATATATATATATATTGTTATTATAATAAGAATTTATTATATTGTTATTATAATAAGAATTTATCTGAAGTACGGCCATAACAAATTTATGGATCTCTTACTTCGTTGGGACATGTGGCACAAAAAGAGCATAGGACCAAGATCCTCAGCAGTCCTTTTTGGCTTTGACTTTGAGTGCATTGTGGAACAAATCCAATTGGAATCTGGATCTTTGGCGCTCCAAAGTCTGTGATGGTCTGTACAAATCACAGTGCCTGATGGTACAAATACAGCTGCTGACACTATTGAACACCGTCACGCAGTCGGCTTTGCCCCCCGGGCTGCCAAGACCTTGTGCCAAACTGGAGCATATTCAGCTTCCTCACAAGGCACCATCACAAGGCCCCTACCCCACTGCAAATCCTAAAGTGTAAGCCAGACTAGTCCGGAGTCTAGTAGAAAGTAGTATATATATATATAGGCTGTTTTGAACTGCAGCTAAAAAAACACATGTGAACAATATAAGTACACAAAGTCGATCAAGCCCCAAGCCAGGTCATACACGACATCTGACCACTACCGCCAAAGCTGGTCGAACCTTCGGGCCCACCGGTACTGCCGATCTGACCGCGCCTCGGAGACCACCCAAGCGCGGCTGACCACGCGTGGAGAGAAACCAAGCTGGAAGCCTCTGTAGCCCTGCCAGACATGGACTCAGCGGTCGTCTGTCCGATTGTGTGTAACAGTTGTTCTTGTGTGTGTTCCAGGAAGGTCTCCATGGATCGGAAATGGGACATCGATGCAGGTCTTCCGACTGAAACAAGCTGCACGTTTGCCACGTTCTCCGACCGAAACAGCTCACACACAGCTTCCCATGGAAGGAATACTATGGAATACTATTATAATACTATTATATCGTCTATTATTCAATTCCATTCATGTCCATTCCAACACATTCAAGCATCATGAAAACAACGTCTTAGACTCACTGGGAAGAGTTCGGGGTTGCGATTGTCGCCCAAAAAGAATATGCTTTGACGGAATCTATCAGCATCTGATAGTTATTGCATCGCTTTCTCCTCTCTCAGCATCTCAACAGCCTTGACTTCTCTACAACAAATCTTTACATGTCTTTGATTGCTTCCTCCAGAGCTCTGCAAGGCAGCCGAGACTCGTGGAAGCCTGTACATGTCAAAGGCTTGTGCGATGCCAGGATCACTGGGAGGCTGACATATGTATGAACCATGTACAAACTATCCCAAACTGCCAATGTCAGCCTACACACCACCAACAGCTCCATAAGGCATGTCCATAGGCATGCACGACTCGCAATAGAGTGGCCCATTGCAAACACGCTCTTCTCCTCGCATGTGAGATCCCCACTGGCAAACGACACCGCATTG